ACGCCCTACCCATTGTACAATTGCTCAGACCCCTGCTATTTCTTTTTCAAAATTTTCACGTCTTATTGCTTGGGCCACAAGTTTACAATAGGTTGAATAGTGGTGGTTCTTATGGCTTTGAAGTGCACAGTTGCTCTAAACCACTGAAATGTCTGGTGCCCTTAGTGTAAATGTCTAAGACTCTAATTGTGCCCTTATGTTATCAGCAATCCAACTCCTCATTCCTCTCCCTGCACCCACTCCTTTTTCCACATTCTCAGAGTCAAGGGGTTACCATCATTTGGTGCCTTCTGTTCTCTCCCTTTTCACTCTGTATTCCACAGGTAAGTGAGAACATTCGGTATTTGCCCTTTTCCCTCTGGATTATTTCTTTTAACATGACATCCTCCAGTTTCATTCAAGTTGCAGAGAACTGCATGATTTTATCTTTTATATGGGTGCATAGTACTCCACTGCATACATATGACACATTTCCCTTATCTTTTCATTTCGGTTTTTTTCTGTATCCTAGTTATTGTACTGCAGTGAATGTGTACCTATCTATCTGAGCAAATGTTTATTTATTTATTTTGGTGTGTGTGTGTGTGTGAGAGAGAGATGATTTTTGGGGAAGGTGTCCTTAGTGTATTTTTTTACCCCTTAGCACAGTGGGTAGAGCGTTCGCCTTACAAGCGGCCAACATGGCCGACCCGAGTTCGATTCCTCCGCCCCTCTCGGAGAGCCCGGCAAGCTACCGAGAGTATTGGATATGCCAGACACAGTAACAACAAAGTCTCCAATGGAGACGTTACTGGGCCCGCTCGAGCAAATCGACGATCAACGGGAGGGCCTTTACCTTTACCTTTACCTTAGTTTTAATTTATTTTTTTAAATTTTCCTCTTATACTTAATATAAACACTGTGGTTTACAAAGTTGTTAATGATTTGTTTTCAATATTCCAACACTAATTCAATATTCAATATTCCATTCAATATTCCAACACAGGCACTGGTTTGTGGCTTCAGCAAAAGCGCCCAAAACCTCTTTGAGAACAGAGTGGCAGAGAAACAGAAACTCTTCCAGGAGGACAATGACCTTCCGGTGCACTTGAAAGGCAGGGGCACCGACAGCCTCCTGTACCGACTGACCATGCTGCTGTGCACTGGAGGTACTGCCTACTTCCTGTACTGCCTTGGCTGGGCCTCCTTCCCCCACAAGAAAGAGTGAGAACCAGGAGCCTGCAGGAGCCGAGGACAAAATGAGCCCGTGTGCAGGCCCCGCCTGGCATGGGTGAGGCCCTGCATTCCACCTCCAGCACCCCAAAATAAATAAATGTGCTGGCTCTTCAGGAAAAAAAAAATGTTTCCTTAGGAGAAAGTTAGTGAAGATTGTTGTATCTCATCATGGAGCCATTAAGACCTTGTATAAGAGATTACTTAGATGCCATTACAGGATAAGCTGGGGCTGGAGCGATAGCACAGCGGTAGGGCGTTCGCCTTACAAGTGGCCAACATGGCCGACCCAAGTTCAATTCCTCCGCCCCTCTCGGAGAGCCCGCCAAGCTACCGAGAGTATCTCGCCAGCACGGCAGAGCCTGGCAAGCTCCCCGTGACGTATTCGATATGCCAAACACAGTAACAAGTCTCATGATGGAGACGTTACTGGGTCCGCTTGAGCAAATCGATGAACAACGGGAGGACCATGACCGTGATACAGCTGGAGTTAAATTTCTAACTGGGTGGCGGCTTTGAGGTGTTCATGACAGCTGGGGCTTCCAAAAGTACAGGGAGATGTGTGGAGGTAGCCCATTTTTGACTCTGTGAAAGCCTGGAGATTTCAACCAGTAAACTTGCGTACCTGAGCTTTTCAGCAGATTCATTTCTGGATAAGGCTCGTCCTGAGCTGTGGCGTCTGGTTGGAAGCATGGCGGCAAAGAATAGAATGTGGGCGCTTTTGGCTTCTGGGGCTCTGTTTGGGCGGGCCTGGGCTGACCTACCCCTCTGGGGTTGCTCTGGATGACTCCTCTGGCTGCTTTTTAAAGCACCAGCTGACCAGGACTGCTAAGCAGGGTGAGAGCCATTCTCTGAGAGGTGCTAGCGAGAACACTGTTGATGGGACCTCCTGGACCCGGGACTGCCCCCTGCTCCCTTCCCCGCTTCCTGATGAGTCAGGGAGCAAACCTGCAGAGGTCTGAGGGGCTCTGGGTCTGACCTCAGGGATTATGCCAGCCCAGACGAGTTCCCTCTGCCTCCATCCCAGAAATGCAGCTGCCATTCTTGGACCTTTGCCTCTGGCAAGAGACTGAACCCCTCGACTATTTCTCCAGCTTCCAAATCCTGTTTTAGTGGGGGGTCCAAGCGGTCCAAGCGGTGCTCTGGAGGTCTGGGGATCTCACCAGCGATTCTTGGACAACTGGGCTGTCGGTTCCATGTAAGCACCTGAGGATTCAGTGCTGGGAAGCCAAAGTGGGTCAGGTGCTTGCTAGCCTAGGTGCTTGCTCTCTAACCACTGTGCAACCTACTGACCTCAATTTTTTTTAAAATATAGAACAAGTAGGGGCTGGAGCAATAGCACAGAGGGTAGGGCGTTTGCCTTACATGCGGTCAACCCAGGTTCGATTCCCAGCATCCCATATGGTTCCCTGAGCACAGCCAGGGGTAATTCCTGAGCGCAGAGCCAGGAGTAACCCCTGCATCACTGGGTTTGACCAAAAAAGCAAAAAAAAAAAAAAAAAAAAAAAAGAACAAGTAGAAATGGCATCCTGATGCATCCAAAGCTACTATGGACCCCGAGTGGTTTCAGTGACCCCCAGGGGGGATTGCACACTTGGGGAACACTAGGTCTAGGGTCTTGCCTTCCTTGCGCTTCTCTCCTGCAGGGACTCACTGTCCCTCTTGGCTTGCTTTCTTTTGAGGGGGTCAGACCCAGTGGTGGTTAGGGATTACTCTTAACTCTGGATTCAGGGATCATTCCTAGCAGGGTTTGGAGGATGTGATGGGGTGCTGGGGATCGAATCTGGGTCTTCCATGTGCAAGGCGAGTGCCCAATCCACTGTCCTATCTCTCTGGCCCCTTATTGTTCCTCTTGTAATGGAGCGAAGTTCCTGGGCTCTGATTCTGGAGAGAGAACTCTCTCTCTCTCTCTCTCTCTCTCTCTCACACACACACACACACACACACACACACGTGTACGTGCGCACAGCTTGGGAAAAATCACTCCTTTTAATGACAGAGAAAGTACAGCAAAGTCTAGAACCAAGGCTGCCACCTACGGAAACTGCCACCGTACAGATCCGACTTGGGGCACCCTGAACTAGCCTCGAACATTCCCTGGGATGTCACGGCACAACCAGGTGGCCACACACAAGGAGACAGCAGGACCCAGGCTCACTTTGTGGCATGATGTGAATACTGTGGGCCATGCACCCATGGCCTCACTCCATGCCGGGTCAGGGGAGGATGGCAATGGCCTTGTGTTGGCCCGGCCTCCCAGACAGTCTGTCTGGAGACAGACTCGGCCCGGGTGCTCCACACGTTACACCCACGAAACAGTACTTGACACCATGGCGTGGGGAGTGGGCCGGGGGCGCAGAAGCATCTCTGGAATCTGGGGCCCGTGAGCGACTTCCCAAAGGCATGTGAGCAAACGGGCAGGTCAATGGAACTTGGCCATCCCAAAGGGGGAAGTCATTCTCCTAGCCTGGACCCCATGTCTCTAGATTTTCAATGACAGGAAAGAAAGGCAGCGACTCCAAGGTTATTTTGAATATTGTGGCACTTCACCAATCTCTTTTGCTTATAATATATGGCAGAGCCCATGGTAGCCTGTGGACGGAAGCTTCCATCGGCGAGAACCCTGTGCTATACATTCTGAGGATACAGAAAGCGACCATCCTATGGTACATGATTCGCCTTGAAAAATAATCTAACATAGTCATAGTCTCTGGCTAGTAACAAACTATTAACATCTTCTGAGAATACAGAGGAGAACTCCGGGATCAAGTCCCTTCTCTCGCGTGCTCCCCCCGCCCCCCCCCCATCGTCTTATGAACACGTTTTTTTTTGCAAAAGCCGCCCCGAATCATTCCGAATTAAGAGAGGAAATGGCTAGGGTAGGTTCGCCTCATGGATTCTGAGCAAGGACTTGATGGAACATATGGGTCTTGGTAAAAATGAAGCACAAACATAACATTTCACAGATTCGGGCGCATGCAAATGCATGTTTTGTTATGTGGGGGTGTCTTATTCTCGCCCCCAAACCACGGTTAGCATGCAGGCTGTTTTCCACTATTGAATGAGAGTTAGTTATTGATTATTGGCAGTGTACCTCTTTTGGGTAACCATGATCACTAAGGCAAGGTTATTTTGACTTCGTATAGAATATCGGCACTACCCCGTCAATGCATGTTTATACAGACTCACAGTTTAAAAAAAAAGAAAGGAAAAAAAAAAGAACCTCAAAACACAGATTCCTAAACACAATTTGGTTGAAAACAAACTGGTAAGCTGTTAGAAATATATTTTAAACTACCAGGCTGTCTTGTTTCTGTGTTTTAAAAAGTCCCCACCCCTAAAAATTTGCCAAACGATCGATCCGTGATCGGAGACGGTCTCTCCAATCCGCTCCCGGGGCCGACCGCGCTCAGCAGCTACCAGGAGGGTCCTCACGGGCAGGGACGCTGTGGTCAGCTCCTCCTGGTCCACCCGGAACCAGAACCATCTTCAGTTCTCAGTCTGTCCATCGGGCCATGGCCCCCCGCCCACAATGAGTGTTCGCCTGCCCCGGGGGGCTGGCGGGAAGGGTGACTCAGCTGCCCCACATCGACCTCAAGAGTTTCGGCCCCAGCTGTGGACCGTGACAATGTCTTTTGCTTTTTTTTCATCAGGAACCTACAGGAGACGCATTGGCCTGTTTAAGAGAAGCCGTGGACTGTCGTGGCCGCTTCCCGGCCCCACCAGAAAACAGACGCTGGGTGAGATTCGATATACGCATTTGTGTGGAAACCACGGTGGCAGACATCGCCACACCACCCACCCCGGGGCACCCCCTGCACCCCGTGTCTCATACAATGGACCCTTTGGAAGAGGACAGGTGGATTGACTGGATGCGGATGGCCAACGTCCTCTGTAAGTCCTGCATCACGTCCTGGCCCGTGCCCTCGCCGCCCTTGTCGTACAGGAGCTGCTTGAACGCTTCGTTCTCGATCAGGACCATCATGTTCTTCAGGAAGTAGCCTTCGCAGTAGGCCGAGAGCTCGGTGACCCCCAGAAACTGCGGAGAGAAGACGAGAGGCAAGAGATGGTTACGGGGAGCAGGCGGGCACGCAGGCTGGGGAGGGACCTAGGGACCACATTGGCTCTGCTTCTGTTGCCTTCTTTGCCTTAGTCCCGTCCGCGGGGATGTGACTCAGTCCCGCCTGTCCCTGGGCTGCGGCCAGCGACCCCTGCAGACCCGTGGGAGGCAGCTGAAGAGAGAGCAGCCAACGCTGAGCTGGGTCTGGGTATGTCTCACTCTCTGCCAGTCCACTGGGGAAGAGGGGGTGGCGACCACAGCTGTGACTCTGATCAGAGTCAGTCTGGCAGGATGCTCCCAAAGCCACCAACAGAGCCCCCAGCCCGGATCTGCCATGCACAGTGGGCCCAAGGCACTGCCCACCTGGACCAGGGGAATCTTCCAGTCTCGCGGCCCATTGGGAGTCAGAGATATGCTCACGCTTGGTTTCTCTCGCTTTGGTACGTGCCCCATGTGGCGTGTCACATGCATGGGTGGAGGCCCAGAAGCATCTGAGCTCCCCCGGACAGGAGGTTCACTGACCCCTGCCACGGCCCTCTGAGCATACCAGCTCTCCATGCCCCGCCTTGAGGCAAGCACTGACATGCCCCGATACTGGGGGATACTTGGAAATGTCCGCAGACTGTTTCAGTGGCCATGCGAGAGGTGGCATGATGTAAGGGATGGAAAGAGCAGTGTCCAGTGGACATTTACGCTGCCCTGTGTAATAGCATCCTCATCAGCCCATTCTCTCGAGAGAGGCTGCCTGAGGGAACGGGCAGAGGCTTAGTCATAGTGGACACTTAGCACTGGTCGCTGATAGGCTGTGGGGATGCCACAGGGGTAGGCCTGGGTATGGCCCCCAAGGTCTCCAGCACCCAAGGGCCCGAGAGGCACAGCATCCTTAGGCCCTAGCACTAAAGCTTGGGTGCAGTTAGCTGGGTGTGGCCAGGAGCAGGCCCCGGGTACTGCCTAGGAAGACCCACCGTCCCGTTAAGTACTTGCTGCCTGCGAGAACGAACAGTGGCCCTCAGCACCGATGCCAGGAGAGGATGCTGAGTGCATGCTGTGTCCATACTTCTTGCATGGCATGGTGACTCTGCCCACCTCCAACTGCAGATGGCAGTGAAGAGAGGACTTTCTTATGCAGTTCTCACACTTGTCCAGGACAGGCCCCCCTCCCCCACCTCCTTCTCCTACCAGCTCCACACCACAGGCCCAGAGAACAGGATATTTTTCTCCCTCAAACTTGTATTTTTTTCATTCGTTTCCGGCCACACCCAGCGGCGCTCAGCGGTGACCCTTGGCTCTGCACTCTGAATCACTCCTGGCGAGGCTCCGAGGGAACATATGGAGTGCCGCGGATTGAACCTGGGTTGGTGGTATGGAAAACGCCCTCCCCACTGTGCTACTGCTCTGGCCCCAACAACAGGACTTAACCCACCATGCGTTTGCCTCATGGGGCCCAGGATAGGGGTGGTTGCCCTCCATGCAGCTACCCAGAAGGGCAGACTCTGCCATGGAAACACGCGAGGACGTGGCCTGCAAAAAGCCGAGGCCCTCAAGGGACAGGGATGGTCCTTCTTAACCCCGTTCCCATGGGAGCCTGGAGGTCATGCCCACAAATTGACTCCAGCTGCTTCTTAAGCTCCTTAACAGCCAGGATCCAGAGACACACAAAAGAATCTCCAAACTGAGCAGCTCTCCGCAGGGATTTCTCCAGGAGCTAATGATCAAAAATTTTAGAATTCTGGGAGCGCATAGCCACTCTCGTGGCCGCGCGACATCTTACGCTATTCATAACAAGCAATACGAAAGAGAGTATGGGGGAGACTGTCTGCCATAGAGGCAGGGGGAGGGGTAGGATGGGGGGATATGGGGACCTTGGTGGTGGGAGATGTGCACTGGTGGAGGGATGGGCGTTCGATCATTGTATGACTGAAACTCAAACAGGAAAGCTTTGTAACTGTATCTCATGGTGATTAAAATAATAACAACAATAAACTAATAAAATAAAATTGACATTATGAATTTAAAAAAAAAGTAATGTGAAGTTCATGTCCAATTCAATCAGCTTAATCAATGGTTGAGCAAATAGCAGCACTCCTTCACTTAAATCACTTAACTTCCCGTTAATTGTCGATTTGCTCGAGCGGACGCCAGTAACGTCTCCTTCACTAAAAAAAAAAAAAAAAAAGCAGCAGAGGTCCAGGCTGGTGTCTGTAACCTGGAGAGCGCTAGGTGGAGCTGCTCAGCCTGCAGTACAACCATTACCCCAGCAGGGGGCTCCCGCTGCCTCCTGCTGCATCACTAAGTAACAGTGCTGCAGGCAGGGCTCAGAGGAGTTTGCAGGTTCTGAGTGGAATGGTGGGATGGTGGGTCGCAGGCCTTGCTGTCACGATAAAAGGGCCCAGCAAAGTCTACTGTGAATGTGGGGCACACAGGGCAGTATAAATGTCCATGGGCAGGGAAATGATAGGCAGGACGCACAGGCTCCTTCCTGGGCAGAACCTGAGCTGGGCTGGAGCGATAGTACAGCAGGTAGGTCTGTCTGCCTTGCTCCACGCAGCTGACCCAGGTTCGATACCCACGTGGCCTCTCGAGCTCTGCCAGGAGTCATTCCTGAGCATCTCCAGGTATGTCCCCCAAACAAAACAAAAATAAGAAACAGAATCTCTCGGAACACTTTTCTGCATATAGAAGAGAGAGTTCTGACCAACCAGATTTTGGGAGACGCTTCCCCCACTGTGTGTGCATGTGTGTGCGTGTGTGCCTGTGTGTGCAGAAGTGTAGCCACCTGACTCTACAACTTACTGGGAACCTATCAGAAAATGTGGGTGTATCAGGTCACGGCAAAGATTTCAAACATGTATTAGAACCAGGCCAGTCAAGCCAGGGAGAACGCAGGGTCTAACCCCTGTGCTCTGGGGGGAGACACTGAACTCCCCCCGGAGAATGCAGAGCAGGGAAGCAGGCAGATGCCATCACACCTGTGTGCAGCAAGAGGCCGCCAGGACCTGCTGCCCTTGGAGTGGCCCAGAGCAGGTGCAGGGCTGGGGGTTGGGGGGCAGCCGGCCGTGAAGGAACGGGAACCCGTCTCAGTGGCTGAGTGAGGATGCTACGGGGCTCTCTCTTCTGCTCGAGCGGGGAGAAATGCAGGAGAACGGCTATGTCTTAGAAGCTTCTAGGCTGCTGCTTTCTGGAGGAAAGGGACGGAGGAGAGGTGGAGGCTGGTGTGTGTGTGTGTGTGTGTGTGTGTGTGTGTGTGAGAGAGAGAGAGAGAGAGGCAGAGGCTGGTGTATGTGTGTGTGTATGTGTGTGAGGCAGAGGCTGGTGTATGTGTGTGTGTATGTGTGTGAGGCAGAGGCTGGTGTGTGTATGAGAGTGAGGCAGAGGCTGGTGTGTGTGGAGGGGGAAAGTCAGAGGCTGGTGTGTGTGTGTGTGAGAGAGAGAGAGGGAGAGAGAGAGAAAGAGAGAGAGAGGCTGGTGTATGGTGTGTGTGTGTTTGTGTGTGTAGGTAGAGGCTGGTGTGTGTGTAGGTAGAGGCTGGTGTGTGTGTGAGGCAGAGGCTGGTGTGTGTGTGAGGCAGAGGCTGGTGTGTGTGTGTGTGAGGCAGAGGCTGGTGTGTGTGTGTGTGTGTGTGAGGCAGAGGCTGGTGTGTGTGTGTGTGAAGCAGAGGCTGGTGTGTGTGTGTGTGTGAGAGGCAGAGACTGGTGTGTGTGTGTGTGTGTGTGAGGCAGAGGCTGGTGTATGTGTTTGTGGGAGAGGCAGGGACTGGTGTGTGTGTGTGTGTGTGTGTGTATGTGTAGGAAGAGGTTGGTGTGTGTATGGGGGACAGAGCACAGGTGCGTGTGGGAGAGCCCGCCCAGGGCGCGGGTCCAAGCGGACGTGCCTACCTTGGCGTGGCTGTAGATGTCCACGCAGTTGTCCGTGTTGATGCCCTTCGCGCAGATGATCTCACAGTGGCGCTGCAACGCCTCCAGCTGGAAAAACTTCGCGGCAGACAGAAGCTAATGAGAGGAAGTAGGAAGGACGGCTGTTAGAGGGCGGATGTTCCCAACAGGGCCCGGGCGGCGTGACTGGCTGAAAGGGCACCTCTGAAGGGCACCAAGGCAGAGGGGAGACAGTTCAGAGGGTGGGGCGCACAGGGTGACCCCCACTCGGTGTCATGGCACTGTCAGGGGTGGCCCAGGCCTCTTCCCAACGGGCCAAAAGGCAGTGCTGGATGGCTGACCCCGGGCTGCTGAGGGGCTGGGCAGGGGGCGGGGGTGGTGGAAGAGAACTGAACCCTCAGGTTAGAGCAGGAGCCCCTGTAGACGCCTAACGTGTCATTCCGGTGTTCGGGGCAAACATTATCCTTTCCCCCAGATGGTGCGACTGTGATTGGCGTTCACTGTCCCGCAGAACTTGACATAAAGGCCGCCTCTTCCGAGAAGTCCTCCAACTGCAAGCCTGGGGCCGCCCCCTCTGTCCCCTTCTGCTCCCCTGCTCCCCTGTCTCTTTCACCCAGATCAGTCACCCTATTACCACCACCCCCTAAACACACACACACACACACACACACACACACACACACACACAAACGCACACCCCGAGTTGTGGCAAGTTGTGGGGAACGACTCTCTGTCTCTTTGTGTCCCTGCTGTGTGCTGCGTCCCCGCCCGGACCTGGGTACCCAGACGTAGCAAATGCTGGACTAAATGAGCAACGGGAGAGAGCGGCTTTGGGGAAGGGAAGGCCAGGCCTAGAGGTGAAGGGCAGAGAGGCTGGGGGGTGGGGGACGAGGAAGCCCCCTTTTACGACAAGCCCTGCCATGTGGGGGAAACATGCATGGGGCTCACGTACGATTTTTATTTTAAAGCTAGTTTCAGAGCCAGGGATGCAGGTCAGGTATTAGAGCACAGGACTCCGGCATGCAAGGCCCTGGGGTCCCCCGCCCCACCCCAGAACCACAGGGTTGGGACCCCTAGCAATCAAAGCAAATGGAATTTTTAAATATTGTGAACTAACATAAAATAAAAAAGTTAAAAAAAACCCCAAATTTTAAAATGTTGGGTCAGGAGCAACGGTATAGCGGGTAGAGAATTTGCCTTGCACGTGGCTGACTTGGGTTCGATCCCTGGTCCCCCATCTGTCCAGAGCCCACCAGGACTGACCCCCAAGCGCAGAGCCAGGAGTTTTGACATCACTCAAACCCAGTGCGGTGGATATGCCGATTCTGTTTTACCGGTGAGCAAACTGGGGTTCAGTGAGGTCAAGAAGCTTATCAGGGGCTAAGTGGGGAGGGGGTTGGACTTGCACGAGGCATACCCAGGTCTGATCCCCGGCATCCCGTGTGCTCCCTGAACACTGCCAGGAGTGATTCCCGAATGCACAACCACAAGCAATCCCTGAGCATCGTTGGGTGTGGCCCAGAAAACAAACAAACAGCAAAGAAGAAGAAGAAAAAAGAAAAAGGAACTTCTCTGCATGCGCACAGCTCAGAAGGGGCAGACAGGGCTCTAGAGAGGCTGGCGCTGATGCCTGGAGCCCAGCCATGGGTCGGCTCCACCTTCCCTCCTGCCAGCACAGCCCTGGCTCTAGCCTCCCAGGTCTCCAGACACCCCAACCTCAGTTCTGATTCGATGCCTCAGAGCCTCTGGCAGGAGCACTGCTTACAGGAAGGAGCCGGAAGCCTGGGCTCAGTCACAAGGCAGCTGGGCTTTGGGAAAGTCAATGACACGCACTGTGCAAGCATGTTCTCAGACGACTCCCATCACGGGCCGCTTCTCCAAGGGTACCTGAGAGCACCAGGTCCCCGGCAGGGACTCCAGGGGGCGTGTGCTATCGTGGGGGCGGGGGAGCAAGGAGGCCGGCAGGTGCCCCAAGTTCATCTCCGACAGAAAAGCCAGCACAGATGCCCCGACACTGCCCGGTGTTTGGGGGAGCAGCCCCGAGGCCTCCTTACCTCCATGATCTCGTTGTTCTTGATGAGCAGAGTCTCGGGCCCGCCGCAGTAGAGATACTGCATGACCAGCTGCAAGAAAGAACGGAGGGATGGAGCCTTGCAGCCTGCAGGCACAGAATCCCTGAGCCCTGGGGCTGGAGGCGGGGTGTGCAGGGCTCAGTGAGGAACAGAGATAGGTGAGGAGGTGTGTGTGGGGGCGCTCAGGTAGAGTAGGAGCAGGTGAGGCGACCAGCCCGCGGGGTCCCGGTCTTGGTAGAACCGGCTCCTGGGTGACGTCTCACCCCTCTGCCTGCAACCTGCCCTCTTCCCTGTTGGCAGCTGGGATGCCCGGACTTCACCTCCCTCCGCGTGTGGACCCAAAGGGACACGGGACACGGAGCTCAAGTTCTCCAGGGGACAGGCAGCCAATGACACCGAGTGGCTCAGGAAGGTGGCATAGGAAGGATGGAGTCATCAATTCTCCACGACTCGGGTGGTGCTGGCAGGGATCAGATAAAGGGAAGTGAGGCAGAAGGGGAAGGACAAATACCGGATGATGCCACTTATCTGTGGGACACAGAGCAATTGGACAACTGGGATCGAAGGTGGGCCAACGCTAAGCCCTAGATTGTAGAAACGAAAAGGCCTCGGGAGGGAGAGAAATTGAGGCAGAGTAGGTAAGAAGAGGAGGGTGGGCGGTCACAGGGGCCGGGCTCACGGGCGCGGAGATATCAGCGATGGAGACACATGGGGAATGTTTATGCTGGACCCAGGGCCAACAGCACTAATTGCAGGAGACTCAAGACTTAAAAATGACCTGTAAGGAGGCAGGCTGTGGGTGGCAGGGCCCTGGGGACACTGGTGGGGGACAGTGACACTGGTGGTGGGGCTGATGTCTGATCATTGGGTGCCTGACCTTTGAAATCATGATGCCTTCATACGAAAAAGGAAGTGGAAGGACGGGGCGGGCCCGGGAAGGTGGGGTCTCCTGTTACACAGCAACCCTCCTCTTCGGCTGGGGCTCCTGGGCTCATGACAGGCCCCTGGGCTTTTTAAAGGCCAGAGACCCCGAGGCCTGAAGTCGGCCCCGCCAGGCTCACCATCCCTCACCGAGGTGATGAGGCCATGACCCTGCGATGGTCTCGCTTCTCTTGGAGGCTGCAAGGCCTGGGGCAGGATCTCACCTCCCTCATGGCCATCCCCAGGGCAGTCCCTGCCACATCTAGCTGTTGGGAGAGAGCGGCCTGCTGTGAAATCTGCTCAGGCCTCTCGCGGGGAGGAAGTCTCAGGTCGTCGGGAAGTGAATGGGGAAGTGAATGGCCCTGGGACCCTCTTTTGGGCCAGATGCAGCCCACTGAGATCAGATGCAGCCCACCGAGGCCAGAAGGCACAGCCCCACCCTTGCCCTGAGGAAACCCCAGAGCAGGGACAGTGCCCAGGGCCGAGCAGTGCCGAAGTCTGGGCTGCTGAGCCCACCAGCAAACACTGGAAGGATAATTCCAGGGACCCCCAATTAACCCTGGCTAAAGTCTCCTGTCTAAGTCTTGCCCACTCCTCAGCCTTGGACACTGCATGGTTTTATGTCTCCTCCAGGAGGCTCTCCCAATCTCCTCTACCTGAGAAACGCCTGGGCCTAGGTTCAGTTTTTCTTGAAAGCCGCCCACATTGTATTATAAATGACAAATGACTCAGTGTTACCCAGGAAAGGGACTTAATCCTTCCACCACAGTAGGTGCTCTACCCAGCACATAGTAGGTGCTCAATTAGGCTGCAGAGATGCGTGGATTTGAAGAACAGGGGCAGTGTGAGGAGGGGCTGCGCTGGTCCCCAGGAAGACAGTGGAAGGAGTGAAACCTTTGTGCCCCGAGTGTTTCCCCCGACTCAAAAATCTGGTTTTCCGACCACAGTGGGACTCACATGAAAGATGGGGTACTTCACATAGCCGATCTCAATGCAGGTGCCATCATTTGTGGGTTTACTCGAGAGGAGCGCTTTGAACCTGAACATGAACACAGACAAACTTACAAACCAGCCTCCGGGTGACAGATGGGGTGTCATGTCCCCTCCCTCCACCCTGGAGAACAAGGACACATCCGTGGATTTCTCAGTTTAGTTGCTGCCTCCTTGTGACCCCCAGTCCCCTCCATCCAGGGTGAGATGCCAGACTCCTGTTTGAAGGCAAAAATCTCAACTCAAAAACAGGAATAGAGGGGCTGGAGTGATAGCACAGTGGGTATGGTGTTTGTCTTGCACGCAGCCGACCTGGGTTCGATTCCCAGCATCCCATATGGTCCCCTGAGCACCACCAGGAGTAACTCCTGAGTGCAGAGCCAGGAGTAACCCCTGTGCATTGCCGAGTGTGACCCAAAAAGCAAGCAAGCAAACAAACAAACAAACAAAAACAGGAATAGAGGGGCTGGAGCCATAGTACAGCGGGCTGGTCCCCAGGGAGACAGTGGAAGGAGTGAACCCTTTGTGCCCCGAGTGTCTCCTCCGACTCAGGTTTTTGCCCTGCATGAGGCCGACCCGGGTTCCATTCCCAGCATCCCAAACGGTCCCCCGAGCACTGCCAGGAGTAATTCCTGAGTGCAAAACCAGGAGTAACCCCTGAGCATCCCTGGGTGTGATCCAAAAAGCAAACCATGAAACAAAGAAAAAAAAGACAAGGAAAAAACCCCCAAAGCCCCCCAAAAACAGGACTGCAGAGAGGTCCCCATGCAGAGGGCCGGGCTCCGTTCTTAGCACTGCTGTCCTCTGACCATTGCCAGGAGCGATTCCTGAACATAAGAGTCAGGAGCTACCTTCAGCACTCCCATGCGTGGCCCCTAAACCCAAACAAACCATATAAAACCCAAAACAAACACACAAAAAAATCCCCCTGAATCAACCACCAGGAGTGGAGAGAGAGCACAGCGGGGAGGGCGTTTGCCTCTCTTGTGGCCGATCCAGGTTCGATCCCCGGCATCCCATGTGCTTCCCTGAGCACCGGCAGGAGTAATTCCTGAGCGCAGAGCCAGAGGTAAGCCCTGAGCATCGCCAGGTGTGGTAAAAAGTAAATGAACAAGACAAACCCAGAAGACCGCATTCATGTGGTGGGATTGATAGAGTGGCCACACTGGATGGGTGACATACGGAAATGTCCCCCCCTCACTGTCTCGAGTGGACGGTCAAGTCCAATGCCCGGGAGTCACATGGCGGTCAGTCACGTCTGGAACTGGCCCTGTCTACCGCCTGCCTCCTGGCCACCATGTGTCCGTCCTCCGGTCTCTCTGGGCTGCCCCTTGGGGCACCTTATAGCTTGGACTCGGTGTCTGTCTGTCTTATCTGTCTGTCTGTCTGTGATGGGGTCCATTCACTCCATGTAGCATCCCCAGTGCCACGCGGGATGCAGCGAGAGTCTCAGCTACCTTCACTGTGAGGCTGTGTGATGTGGTGTTTGGGGACAGTGGGGTGACCGCCCCCTTTGGTCATGCCCTGCACCCCCCCAGCCTGGGTTTGGAGAGGGTCACTGGCCATCGGGATGGATGCTCCTGGTTCAGTGACACTGTGGTCACCTCTGAGCCTGGCCCCCCACATACCTGGGTGAGGCCGTGAAGAGCAGCACTTTGTGGGCGTAGAATGGCCGGCCTTCCACCAGGAAGGTGACGTCCGACATCTCTTTGTTGTTGAGGAAATGCGGATCTGCGAGAGGAAAAGGAGGCAGGGGTCCCTGAGTGGCGGTGTCCCCTCTTCCCCAAGGAGCTCACGGCAGACCCAGGGGATAAAACGCTCTTCGACCCAACGGATGGACGGAGGGACACACAGTCACCCAGATTCCCAAGTGCCGGAAAGCTCCTTGCTGTTCTGCCGCTGAAAATAGTGTTTCCTCTCTAAGGAGGGGCTTCCGGGGGCCAGGGGCCAGGCAGCTAGGGAACAGGTCAGCTCTGTCCTCCTGGGGGCACTGTCTTGGGCTCAGTGCCCCCACTGCAGTGGTCAGAGGGAGACCCGGTGGTCTGCCAAGCAGGCGGGCACACGGGGATGCCCTCCACAGACTCAGAAACCCCAAAGCCTGGGTATCTCCTGGCCCTCCACCATGGAAGAAACTTCAGAAAGATATGAGGGAGGTGGAGGAATGGCCTTGTGGTGCCCAGGAGGGGACCCGGACCTCCTGCCCACAAAGCCAGTGCCTGGCCCGCTGAGCTCAGCTTGGGTCCTCACAAATGTAAGCTTGGTGGAAGCTTACATTTCAAATGCATCCCGGGGGGACCGGGGAACATGGCTTCATGGCAGAGCGACTACCTCAAATGGGTGAGGGAGTCATCTGGGGTCTGTTCCCAGCACGACCCCCTGCCCCATCCTAAAAATGTCAAAATCACCTGTCATTCCACCTTTGAAAATTGTAAGTGCCAAATCCCCCAAACACTTCTAAAATCACCGGGGGAGAGAGAAGAGCGCTAACTTATACTCGCTTGCTCTCATCTTTCAAGATTTTTTTTGGCGGGTTTTCCTCTTGCCAGCAACCAGCCTCCCTCGGCTCACTCTGGCTCCCGCCTTCAGCAACCTCCACTCTGGCTCCCAGAACTTCCGACACCCCAGTCTTTCTACCCAACCTGCCCGAATTCACTGGGAGGGCAAGAGGACCAGGCCTCCCAACCTGCCCCAGTCTCCACCCCTCCCCAGGACACTGCACTTGGCGGGAGGAGTTGCCTGACTCTCCAGGGATGCAGCAGGGAGACTCTCATGGATCATTTATGATTCACTTTTCTTGAAAGCAGGTCCCCAAAGCACTACTTGATGCCCGGTTGTTATCCTCGCTTGTAAGGCTGTACTGAAGATGTGAAGTACAACACACTCCATACCCTGTTTATCATTCTATCCTATCCCCAGTTCCTTTCCGAGCCAGAGCTTCGAGCCTCTCGGCCTGTCTTCCCAGGGAAGTACAGTCTCAGGCTGAAAACTAGGCTTCTAATGGCCAGTGAAAGAAATCTCAGCAAATTTGGGAAGCAAATTTTTTTTGCTACAGAAATATCAGCAAAGCAGAGTTGGTTCTGTGCCATTGATTCTGACTCTGCCAATGTCTGCTCCAACCTCCACACTCAGGGACTATTGCTAAGTTCCGGCACTGGGACCAGTGTCCAAAGTCATTTGATTGGTCTTTAGAACTTGCTGCATGGATAATATTTTAATTATCATCTCTTTTCTACATGGCAGCCATATATATGTGGGGTTGGTGCCTCCTGATTTATTCATGTGACTGAGCACAAAGGGAAATCAACGGCCTTTGACTCAGATGCTGCTAAGTTTTTCTTTTAAGCAAAAAGCTGTAATTGAAATTAACAACCTTTTTTTTTAAATTAAAAAAGAAAAGGAGTAAAGGATGGAAGGGAAGGAAGAAGGAAGGAAGAAAAAAGGAAGGGAGGGAAGGAAGAAGGAAGGAATGAGGGCAGGAAAGAATGAGAAAGGAAGGGAGGAAGGAAGGCGGGAGGAAAGAAGGGAGGGACGCTTCTTTTTGTGGGGAAGGGCTGGGTTACTCTCAGAGGTGCTCAAAGCTCACTCCGTGTGTGGCGCATACAGGGTGCAGGGGACTGAACCTAGGTTGGCCACATGCAAGGCCAGTACCCTCCCTGTTATACTGTGGCTCTGGTTCAGCTTCTTCTTTTATTTTTAAATGGCAGCCTTGCCTGGCAGAGCTGGGAGACAGGACATGTGTGAACTCAGGACCGACCACACCTGGGCATGTGCTCTGCCACTCAAACCATCTCACCGATGCCCAGTAAGTTATTTTAGACGGCATCAAACAATGACTCAAACACAGCTCTGTGGATCCAGCCTTTCCCTTACTTGAAAGTGGCTCATGTGTTTCAAAAGTCATGGTTTGGGCCAGGGAGCCACTCCCAGGGCTGAGTGTACCTGGTGCAAGGTGGGCCCAGGCCTGGATGCCCGATGACACCACCTGGTCCCCAGGAGCACCGAGCCAGGAGCAGCTCGCGAGAATCACCAGGTGTGGTCCAAGAAAACAAAAACCAACCCAACAGAAAAGGAGTGACTTGGCTGGGTGCAGAATTTCAAATATGTTTCTCAGCCGTTTTCTGTCTTTATAGGAAGCACAGAGTGGAGCTCAGGAGGCCGGCACCTTCGCTGGAAAACAAATCCTCTCTACTGAATACTTCATACCTCCCAGGCGACCAGGGGCCAAGCTGCTGAACAGCAGCCAAACAGTGCTGGGCCTCCTGTGCCAGACTGTAGCCCCGGGCACCCGGGGTGGACTCAGTCCTGCTGGGAAGGCTTCTGAGCAAACCCCAGGGTGGGAGCCGTGGGCAGCAGGGCTCTAGGTTTCAGCTTCCCCAGGGGCAGGCCCAGAGCAGTGACCTGAGACTTGACTGAGAAGCGGGCCTGAGCCAAGTCCTTGGCTGAGCCAGCTCAGAGCAAATGTCTGGAAAAAACAAGCAGTGATCGCGGCCATGCTCATGGGATTCCCAAGCGTCCTGTCCATTCAGCGACGATCTCCTTGCGTAAAGGCACATGCATGTGCCTTTACGCATTTGCATCTGTGCAAGTGTACGCACGTGCCTGTGTTTGTGTCTGCATGCATCGGGGTCTGAGTATGCACACACATGCATGTCTGAGCACGCGTAGACACGTGTGCATGCCTGCGTGTATTGGGGGCTGTGAATGCACAAACATACATGCGTGTCTGTGCACGTGTATACATGTGTCTGCCTGCACATGTGGGTGCCCCAGGCTTCTATGGGTGTGCACGCTCGTCCCTCTCTCCTCCTAGTTCCATTAGAGGGACATTATTGGCTTGTCACCAGCCTCTCCTTGCTCCTCCTGAGGGGGCATGAGGGATTTTTGAGTTTATTTTTATTTTTTTTGCTTTTTGGGTCACACCTGGAGATGCACAGGGTTTACTCCTGGCTCTGCACTCAGGAGTTACTCCTGGCGGTGCTCAGGGGACCATATGGGATGCTGGGAATCGAACCCGGGTCGGCCGTGTGCAAGGCCAACGCCCTACCCGCTGTGCTATCTCTCCAGCTCCGGGACTTTTGAGTTTAAAGGGAGCTGCCTGGCATAATTCTGCCTCCTCCCGGAAGTATCTGTCTGCAGAAAATGCCAGGGCTCAGGAAGGCCAATGATTACCAGGCCCCATCTGTGACCATGGGGGTATGTCCCTCATCTATAGGCATGGGGAGGGGGTCGTGAGGTGGAAGAGCACAGGCCCCGGGGGTGTCCCTCGGGGAAAACAGGTGCTCTCCTATCTCCAGTTCCCACCTTCTAACCCCACTGCCCTGGGGTCCTCCCATCACAAACCCAGGCAGGACCCCGAGCACTCACCCAGGCGCGAGGTCTGTTTCCGCTTGATCTCCGTGAGCTTGGGGATGGGGTAGGGCCCATAGCAGTGCGTGAAGATGACGCACAGCTGTTGGCTGATCACCTCGTTCTGGAAGAGAGAGAGCAGCTCACGTCGCAGGGGGCTGCCGGTGGGGCTTACCCAGCGGTTGCACACCCACTGCCCCCAGGAAAAGGGCGTGTGTAGGGGGCTCCTGGGAGGTCTTAGGCAGCTCCCTGGCTGTGTGGTCACTATTTCCCGTCCATTCCTGACCTGAGCCAACGCTGTCGATTTGTTCGAGTGGGCCCAGTAACGTCTCCATTGTGACACTTGTAACTGTGTTTGGCCTATCAAATACGTCACGGGTAGCTTGCCAGGCTTTGTCGTGTGTGCGAGATACTCTCAGTAGCTTGCTGGGCTCTCCGAGAGGGGCGGAAGAATCGAACCTGGGTCAGTCAGGTCATGCAAGGCAAACGCCCTACCTGCTGTGCTCCAGCTGAATTTATCATAAATCCTCTCTTGCCTGCACCATTAGCTCTTCATTACAAAGTCCTCATTTCCCCTCCAAATACACCTCTCCTGGTACTCCAGAGTTTTGGAAGCTGTAAAATTACCCTGAGTGCCTGCATCCTGGGCACCAGCACAAATTGTTCCTGCCCCGCATGCTCCAAGATCCCAACTGAGTTGCTTTCTCCAGAAAAGTAGGGCAGGGCAGAGCTCTGCGAGCCAAACTTTAGCCGCCCGCCTGCTGGCTGGAGGAAGACCATCCCTGTGAATTTTTGGGGGGTTGTGAGTCTGGGGCCCAAAGGCAGCGGTGCTCAGGGCTCACTCTCGGCTCTGTGTTCAGGGAGCACTGTTGGCAGTGCCTGGGAATGATCCGGGATGCGGGGGTCAAACCAAGGTCAGCCGCGTGCAAGGCGAGTGCCTCTCCCCGATTCCTCTCTCCAGGCTAGGAGCCTGTTTCTGAGGTGCTCCCCCGCTCCCCCCCCCTTTGCATCCCCTAAGTCCATGAATCCTTCTCCAGATGCAGATAGGTGAAGGGAGGTTACAGATCACTGACGTTTTTAACGGGGGTGAAGAGACTGAAACGGGCTGAGAGGATGAGCGAGAGAGAAACTTGGTGGGGCTGGAGTGAGAAGCACAGTGGGTAGGGCATTTGCCTTGCACATGACCGACCCGGGTTCGATTCCCAGCATCCCATATGGTTCCCCTGAGCACCGCCAGGAATAATTCCTGAGTGCACAGCCAGGAGTAACCCCTGAGCATTGCTGGGTGTGACCCAAAAAGAAAAGAAAGAAAAAAAGAAAATTGGGTTACTGCACAGTTTGGAAGCATAGACGCTTGTAAACAAAGGCCGATACATAGGCATCAAGATGGGCAGGAGCGCAGAGAGGGAGTTGGGGGAGGAGAGAGTGGCTGCCCCTCAGAGGGACCCTGCTTCTGCTTTTTCTTCTGCTTTGTCTGTCTTTGTGAGTGGTTTGGGGGCCACCCTCAGCAGCGCTCAGGGAGCTACTCCTGGCTCTTTGCTCAGGAGCGACCCCTGGCGGTACATGTGGAACCTTATGTGGTACTAGCGATTCAAACTGGGGTCTGTAGGATGAAAGACAAGTGCCTTCATCCTTTCCCTCTTTGAGCCTGCTTTTCTTTTTTAATCTATATATTTTTTGCCTTCTTCTTTTTTTTTTTTTGCTTTTTGGGTCACACCTGGCAATGCACAGGGATTACTCCTGGCTCTGAACTCAGGAACTACTCCTGGCGGTGTTCAGGGGACCGTATGGGATGCTGGGAATTGAACCTGGGTCCGCTGTGTGCAAGGCAAACACCCTACCTGCTGTGCTATCGCTCTAGCCCCCTAGTCTATATTTTCTACCAAAAACAAATGCTGCTTTTTGTAATAAAAAAGATTAAAAGAGGGGATTTGGGTAAGTAATTATGCCTGTGGTTCAAGGTATTCTTCCTTTTTAAATTATTTTATTTTGTTTTTTTGGGGGGGAGGGTCTCCCCTAGCTGTGTTCAGGGGCTATTCCCAGCTCAGTGCTCTAAGCACAGGTCAAGGCCACCCCAAGAAAGTGTGCAAGTACACCTTCCCTAAAGCCTCCGGAAAGGAAACGGCTCTGCAGACACCTGGATTTGGGTGCCGAGAGGCCCCCAGCAGAGAACCAGCAGTTCTGAGCCGAGAACCATACGCCCAGACTTCTGAGGCACAGGGACCAGGAAATAACCAACCAGTCTGTCTTTAGCTGCAAAGTGGTAGCAATTTGTTACTGCAGCAATGATAGAAAAAACGAAAATGGCAAGAAAAAAGGCGAGCAGAGATTCCCAGACTTCTTTGGTCAACCTCTCCCTTTTCAGAAAAAAAAAAATCAGAGGCTTCTCCCATCCTCACTGGATGGGTCCAGCACCCCAGGGCAGGGATACCACGGTGGGAAATGATGACTCGGAGTTTGCTCCGTGGCACCATGCTTCGTGACCCCTGTGAGTCATCTCTGCTGAACTGGATCCAACAAGCCCTGGCTGATGTTAGTCAGAGGGCAGAGGGGCCAGGGGGAGACTGTGGCATCGCCTCATTTTTCCGTGAACCTAAATTCTGAAAAGTGGAGCCTCTAGTTAAAAATCTACCTCAGCACTTAACACAGTAGCTAGGATACAGAATCAACTTGGGTGTCCCGTTCACAAATTTAAAAAGAGGAACTCAGTGGGGACTAGCCAACAGGTCCCTGTCATCCGACCTGACTATAATACGTGGCATTTTCCCACTGGGTCTATGGGGCAGGAATAGTTATGAACAAGCAAAAGAAGGGGGGGGGGTAGATCGTTTAAGAATTGGCAAGAAATTCAATTTTATGTCCTCACTATTTTTACTGAAATATATGTTTATGGCTTTAAAAAATTAAACAAAATCTGTCCTCCGAGGCAACAGAATAATGGTGACAAAATCAGTAAAGATTGTAGCCAGGAAAGGTGGAGATCAAAGTGTCCTGAACTTTAATCCTTCATTATCCCAGTGGTCTGCTTAAGATAAGCTGTCCCCAGTGCAACAAACTATCAATCTATCCACCCACTTTTGCTTTTTTGTATTATTATTATTTTTTAAATTATTTTTCTTTTTGGGTCATACCAGGTGATGCTCAGGGGTTACTCCAGGCTCTGGGCTGGAGCGATAGCACAGCGAGTAGGGTGTTTGCCTTGCACGCAGCCAACATGGCCGACCTGAGTTCGATTCCTCTGCCCCTCTTGGAGAGTCAGCAAGCTACTGAGAGTATCTCGCCCGCACAGCAAAGCCTGGCAAGCTACCCATGACGTAATCAATATGCCAAACACAGTAACAACAAGTCTCATGATGGAGACACTACTGGGCCTGCTCGAGCAAATCGATGAACAACGGGAGGACCGTGACCGTGACTCCAGGCTCTGCACTCAGGAATTACTCCTGGTGGTGCTTGGGGGACTGTATGGGATACTGGGGATTGAACCCAGGTCAGATGCATGCAAGGCAAATGTGCTGCCTACTGCACTATTATTTCGGCCCCTATCCACCCACTTTTATCCATCCATCCATCCATCCATCCATCCATCCATTCATCCATCCATCCATCCACACATCCATCCCTCCGTCCCTCCCTCCCTCCCTCCCTCCCTCACTCTCTCCCTCACCAATCATCCATCCACCACTTTCCACCATGCCCCCCAACCTTACATCTGTCCATCCGTCCATTTAGCCACCCACCAATCTACCCACCCATCCATACATCGTCCATCTATCCACCATCCATCTATCCATCCATCCCTTTATCTGTTTATCCATCCTTCAAATACTTGCTCAGCATCTTCTGAGTGCTAGATGCTGTGTGAAGGGTTGAAGGGTGATAGTGAGACATTCAAAGTCAGCACCTAGGATGTGGCTTTTTCTGAAGTGTTCCGACTGCTTCTCTTTCAGAGACCGGAATGCTAAAAAAAAAACAACCCTCGGGCTGTGCCCTTGAATTCACCCATGTGTGTGGAGGCACCTGCCGGTTCCTTGGACTTGAGATGGTTCTTCCTAGAGTGGTTTGGGAGGCCCCCTGGCAGTGCCTCAGGCCTAGCCAGTGTCAGGTCGACTTCCCAGCACTGCTCAGGGGACCACGTGGTACCAGGGACTGAGCCTGGGCCATTAGCACGACTGTGCTCAGCCTGTTGAGCTTTCTCTCTAAGTATTTCATTTCTATGTCTTTGTTTGGGTTTTGGGGCCATATACAGTGGTGCTCTAAGGATGCTCCTGCCTCTGTGCTCAGGAGCTGCTCCCAGGGGTGCTCGGGGTATTGCACCAGGAATCAAACCAGGGTGGGTCACATGCAAGATAGTGCATTTTTTTTTAACTTTTTGGGTCACACCAGGCAATGCACAGGGGATACTCCTGGCTCTGGCTCTGCACTCAGAAAGTACTCCTGGCGGTGCTCAAGGGACCATATGGGATGCTGGGGATCGAACCCGGGTCAGCTGTGTGCAAGGCAAATGCCCTACCCGCTGTGCTATTGCTCCAGCCCCAAGATAGTGCCTTTATTCCCTTGCATTTCTCTGGCCCGAAGATACTTTTAAAAAAATTGCTTTATTACAGCTTAGGTAATATGATCCTGTTTAAATTTACGGTACTGGTTTACAGAATTATAGCACACCTGTCTCACCAAAGTGCCCATGAGCAGCACGGCTGTCTCTACGTCACCTCTGGTCTGACCTGCACCTCCCTTGGTCCCCCAATACACCTTTCCCCCACTGCTTGTTAATCAATTCTGTAATCCAAAGTCAAGGGCCTTTCATTGCTCGGAGCTGTTTATTCCCTGGTCCTCTCTCTCTCCTCCATAGATGAGTGAGATCATCAGGTATTTGTCGTCTCTCTGACTTATTTCACACGATGCCCCCCAGTGGGCTGGAGCAACAGCACAGTGGGTAGGGCGTTCGCCTTGTACGTGGCCGACCAGGCTGACCCCAGTTGGAGTCTTCTGCCCCTCTCGGAGAGCCCGGCAAGTTACCGAGAGTATCCCTCCTTCACAGCAAAGCCTGGCAAGCTACCCGTGATGTACTGGATACGTAACACAGTAACATGTCTCAGGATGGAGACATTACTGGGCCGCTGG